TAACTAAACCTTAAAGCACTCCTTAAAGCATTTCCTTCACATATGCCCTCCATCTTCCCCTAGCTCATTTTAGGGATCTTAAAGACTTTCTTGTTTCTTCTTCCCCAAAGCCCAAGCATCCCCAAACTTTTGAGGTCTTAGCTTTTCTGCAAAGCACTTGTTTGCCTAGGTTCTTCTTCCTTGAGCTGGACCATTAGGTTTGTCTGTCCCCTCTCTTTACCCCTGCCCACCTGTCTAGCCACAAACTTTCTCATAAGAAAGAGCAGAACAAGAGTGATACCCTGCTGGTCTCAGGCAGTGGGCTACAAGGGGCTCGAAGACAGGTTCTCAACAAACTACTTCGTATCTGTGCCTCCGTCTGTACAATGGGCACAAGACTACGTCACAGGACTCCAGGTACGAGTCATGGTGGTGACGTGATCCAATGGTTGGCTGCTAACCAGAAGGCCTGCAGTTTGAACTCAACCAGATGGATTGACCAGGCAGTGTTTTATTTTGTCTATGAGTTGGAACCAATTCAACGGCAACTAACAACAACCATCTGCACAGAAGCAGACCGCCCCGTCTTTTTACATGGTCATCCATCCGGTCGAGCGTCTTCCTCTTTCTAGCAGAACCTCTACTTTTCCAAGCATGACGTCTTTTCCAGGAATGGTCCATCCTGATTACCTGACCAAAGTACACGTGAGGAATTTTCATTATCCTCCCTTCCAAGGAGCATTCTGGCTGTACTTCTTCCAAGACAGACTTGTTTGGTCTCCTGGAAGTTCATGGTACTGTCAACGCTCTTTGCCACGACATCATGCAAAGCCTTGATTTTTCCCTCAGTCTTATCCACTCTCCAGCGTTTCCCTCGGTCTTATCCACTCTCCAGCGTTTCTCTCGGTCTTATCCACTCTCCAGCGTTTCCCTTGGTCTTATCCACTCTCCAGCGTTTCCCTCGGTCTTATGCACTCTCCAGTGTTTCCCTCGGTCTTATCCACTCTCCAGTGTTTCCCTCGGTCTTATCCACTCTCCAGCAAAGGAGGCCATTGGAAATGCCATGGCTCGGGCCAGATGTCCCTTCATCCTCCAGGGGACATCTTTGCTTTCAAACATTTTAAAAAGGACTTTTGCAGCAGCTTTACCATACATTGTTTGATTTCTTAACTGCTGCTTCCATGGTAGTGATAATTACAGCCTAGAAAGCCTTGTGGGGTATTTCTTCTCTGTTCTATAGGATTACTGTAAGTAGGCCTTGATTTGATGACAAGGGATTTGTTTGTTTACTTTGTGGGCTGTTGCAAAAATGAGCTGAGTTAGTAAGTGTACACTCCCAATCAAACTCACTATCATTGAGTCAATGCCAACTCAGGACAAAAACAAAACCAACTCCCTGTCCTCAGTCAACGCTGACTCATAGTGACCCCATAGGACAGCGTAGGACTGTCCTGTGGATTTCTGAAGTTGTGAATCTGTATGGGGACAGTCTTATCTTTCTCCCGGAGGGTGGTTTTGAACTGCTGATCCTACAGCTAACAGCCCAACTCATAATCCACTACCCCACCGGGGCCCCTTTCTGTAAACTCCATAGACCCATCATAGTAAGTATTACCCATTGTCATCTCGAGTGTGTTTCTGACAGCTTACTTGGTTAGACCATCAGCAACCATCTCTGTGTTCTACACACAACACTCACTGCCATCCAGTCAACACCCGCTCATAGCGACCTGGAGTCCCGCTGATCTCTACAGTCAACTAAAGGCCGTACGCCGTCTCTCTCTATCTTCCCTTCTACGGCGAGTATGGAAGGAGAGTCACTTAGGATACTTGTGTCCAGCTGCTTCTCCCGTTGTTCCTCTGCAGTCCTCTACTCCGCTCATGGCTCTTGTGGAGGCTCCACTGGTCCTAGCCTGGCGTTAGACTGGGGAGAGAACACCATCTTTATCTGGCAGAGCGCTTCATTTTAGACCCATGGACGTTAAACAGCTCTTCTGGAAGACACATATCTGGTCTGCAGAGATCAGGATTTATGCCCCAACCAGCTAACAGTTCAAAAAGATGAATTTACCTTTCCTTATAAAATATGAGAGCTAAAGATACTAGTCAGAGTCTATGGCTTTCAACTCACTACAAAACATAACAACTACGATTAAAAATAAACCAAAAACACTTTCTGAAGGATATACATTCCATTCCTAAAATCTATCTTTCAATGACATCAGACCACTAAAGAGTTACAGATCTGGCCCTATAGTCCACCCATGGACCCTGGAACCAGGTCACTGGCCTAGTCCCTGCTTTAAAACCCTCCCAGCCCTTTCTGAATCACCTCTCTCCTTAGAAGCAAGAAGCTTGCAAAGGCAACGAGGTACCACCCCTCCTAAGCCAGCATTGTGCCTCATTCCCTGCAATTTCAGCTCAAATGGGTCAGAGGATGCTGCCAGGACCTGCATGCCCTCTTCCCCGTGTCTGCCCTTCTGAAGGCAGGCCTCGCAGCTCTGGAGGGCACCTCTTGGGGCAGTTGGCAGAACTCCAATGCATAGGCTGGATGTGCTAATACATGGCCCAGTTTCATCTGTGGGAAGTAGCCAGAGTGGGATAGGGCAGGCTGTGGGTCTGGTGTCTCCATGAAACTGTCGTTGCAGGTCTCACAGTAGAACAGGGAGTTTTTTACCTATCTGATCCTGGACAGGTAAGTCTTGTCCAGTTGGCCCCATTGCAAAGGGCAGGGCAGAAGTCAGCCCAGCAGCATTCAACCATGTGCTTGCTGGGAGGGCCTGGGGGTGTTTAGGCCCCAAGGTCACTGGATTCCTTCTTAAGGACTAATTTGTTCATCTCTGGTCACCACACGTTAGAACTGGGCTTGTCTTCTTTTTTCACGGTTGTTGCTAGAATACTCAAGAGCTCCTCTGCAAACCTGCAATCTCGTGAGAGCCACTTTGTACGGACCTCACTCGGGGCTTATTCTTCCCACTTGTATTTTCTCTTGGCCCAGACATGCTTTGCCTTTAAGATTTTGGTATAGTGGAGATGCTTTTGAAAGTCACTTTACATCATGTCTGGGGAAGAGGGGACAGAAAAGGGAGAGAACCCCGGCATACAGGTTGTGACCGAGACCTAAGCTTGCAGGCTTCATCATTTTGATATTTGGTATAACACTGTCAGTTTTTGTTGTTTTAATTGTGGTTAAGCATATACATGAGAGGAAGTCAAAAAGCAATGCTTTTATTAAAAGTAACAAGTGGGAAGCTGACGTTTCTCAGCACGTTCCCTACCTGGACTTCATCCCTTCCGACGGTGGCATGGCCATCAACCAGTCTTTCCGCCAAAGAATTCTGTGCTGCTCTTGAACCCAGTTTGGGCATCCTCCCCAGACCCAACTCACTGCCATTGAGTTAATTCTGACTCATGGTGACTCTCGTGGGAGCCACTTTGGTAGGTTTCCAAGCCTGTAACTCGTTATCGGAATAGAAAGCCTCATCTTTCTCCCACGGAGCACCTGTTGGTTTCGAACTGCAGACCTTAGGGATCGCAGCCCAAATGGTAACCATAAGCCACCAGGGCGCCTTTCCACATCCTCAAGGGGACTAAACTCATGTTGAACGTAGAACAAAAACTATGAAAGGTTAGAGTATGACTGTACAGTGGATTGGGTAAGGTTTCCCAAGGAAGTTTTCTGGTTCACGCTACCCTCCATGAATGAGCTGTGCATTGTCTTGATAAAATTTTTTTAAAAGTCCTTGATGCAACTTTTCCATAAAAAGTCCCCAGACATCTGGCACCCTCCAAGAAAAACCCTCAAGATGACGTCTGCAGAACCTCACATCACTAGAAGCTTCTGCGGTGCCCTCTCTGCTTTGAATAACGTTTGGCCCAGGAGGTCCTCTGGGAAGGCAGTTTCGAGGGGACCGTTTTGTGATGGCACCAAATGAAATGAAGACATGCGGACATGTTGTTTGGAACACGTGTGTATGTGTGTGTGTGTGTGAGAGAGAGAGAGAGAGAGAGAGAGAGAACTGGAGCCCTTGTAGCAATGCTTTGTTAACTACATTTGCATCTATAAACTGAGCTCCCCACTCAGCTGCTAACCACAAGGTCAGTGGTTTGAACCCATTCAGCCGCCCCATGGGACAAAGACCTGGTCCCCATTAGATTATGGCTTAGAGAGCCCTATGGGGCAGTTCGATTAACCAATCTGATGACACTATTTAGTGCATTAAAACGTCTGCCATTGGAATTACTCAGGGCACAAAGGACGAAGGAAGCTAGTTTTAGTGGTGCTGGTGCTGCATGAAGAAAACGTCACTGAAAAGCACAGCTTCAGTAGGACTTCAAATCCACTTGGACTGTGACTAGTGTCAAAACTGTACTTGGCAGCACAAGAACGTAAAAACAAAAGAGGAAAGAGAACGATGTTATGACTGATGGGAGGCGGGGGCAAAGCACACACCTCTTCATTGTTATCAGAACCAGTAATATTCCTGTCAGTCAGTAGCATCACACTTTGGGTCGGGCCGGTTCTCCCCACTAATATATATGTTCCTGGACCTTGTTTGATGCGCTAAGTCCAGGTTTCCTGCAAGCTCCCTGGCTGAGCTCCAGCTAGGGGCTCACCACACCTTGGGGCTCATCTTTGAAGCATCCACACGTAGATGTGGGAGGAGACAAGCTATAAGGAAACAGAAACCCCCCAAGCGGTCATCACACTCGTCTGCCAGTTTCCACCCAATGTCCAGCTTCAAAGTCAGGTCTGCAGCCTCACCCCAGAGGCTCCCACGGCTTCCCTGCTTCTTTGATGAACTCCGGGGAATTTCTAACCTTCGGATCTGCCCCCCTACTGGCTCAGAGTGAAGCCTCACCCTGGGGTTTGCACATAATAACCTGCAGTGGCTGAAAATTCTTACAACTGCTCCAGTCACCAGAAGGCCAGAGGCGCCGGCGGACGTGGTGAGAGGGAAGACCCGGGCCGGACAACTGTCCCTCCCCTCTCAGAACAGCTCCACACAGACACAGCCCCGAAACGACCACATTCTGCTTTATTAGGCTTTCCATGGTAATATAACACAGCGTTCTTAAGGGGTAATACACACGAGACTTGTTCGTTTACCATCATTATTTTGCCAGGTAAGACAGTGGTTACAAAAAAAAAAAAGTACTTTTCTGGCTACACACATGATCAGCTTAGCATCGAAAGTTCTTCCACTCGTGGGTCACAACCACAATTCCAAGGGCGAAAACCGTCTATCATTAATTAAATCCTACACTGGGGGAGAGCATCAAGTCACTGCAGTTGATCAGTTCTGAGACACTGTCCATTTATTTTAGCATTTACATAGGACATTCACGTAACAGACACACAAAGCAAGCCAACTGGTAAACATGCTTACACAGCCTACAGAAATTTTCAGGTTTCAAATTGTTTGAAGAAAACAATCCAAAGAACCAAAAATACCATGGCCTGATACAGGGAAGAAAAAAAGAAAGAAAGAAACGGGAAGACTAAGTGAATACGAAAGAGCTGCAGATGTTTCTTAGAATTGAAACAAAAATTTTTTCCCAACTTGTTCCAATTTCCTCTAAGTGCAGGTGAGAGAGAAAAAAAAACAGTAAAATATATTAAGTTAACCAATTATTTTTAAAAGTGCAAATTACTTTGAAAATAACAAATAAACAACTTTTTTTAAAAAACCCAACGATCGCCCCAAAGGCAAAAACATGTGGACAGACAGGTGTGATGATGTCATGACCTACTGTATTACGTCATACTTTACAAAAGCGGATTTGATTTTACAGAAGCCTACAAACAGAGCATTTCTCAAGAGAACCTTCAACACGCTTGAAAAGAAATGCATCACCAATCCGCAGAGACGGGCGTGGTGCGCAGAGGAGGGCTGAGTGGCAAGCTGTCACTCAGACAAGGAAAGGAAGCAGACACCAGGTCACCTGTGGTCTACAGGCGGCCAACGTTTAACTGGTGATTTTCCCCACAAAAGCTCTGAGGTGGCCTATCACTTATAAAACAGATTTCCTTTGTCCTCTTGCAAAGTTCGATGGAGTGTCAGTCAAATCTCCCAAAGATTTTCTGGAAGAGAGAAGACCTCCCTGTGCTGTAGTCTTTCTTTCAAAATAGTCTGGTCAAGAAAGGTGATTTCGACACTGGCCCACCCCTAGCCTCTGCCCAACTTACCGTAGATACTCGTGTATAAGCCGAGTTTTCCAGCACACTTTTAATGCAGTTTTTGTGGTAAGATCAGGTGCCTCGGCTGGTATTCGGGTCAGCTTATACTTGAGTATGTACGGTATGTGATTTTCCCTCAAAGCCCCAATGTGTTCTAAACTTCCAGAAGATACTTCCTGGGCAAACAGAAGGCCACTGAGGCCAGACTCCCCCAAATCCAATCCTTCTGGGCTTGAAGGTGGTTCGCTCACTTGGGTCATGAGGCTCACTCGACAGGGGTGGTGGTCTGTCAGAGGGAACGCCTCCATGCCGCACAGCCTCAGCCCAGCACTGACTGACCGTGTGGGTGAGTTAGTGTGGCCCGTCCCTGCACCTGGGGGAGTGGCTCCCCTTCCAGCGCCCGGCCTCGTGATGGGTGGCGGGTGGGTAGCACCAGTCTACATGGAGGCAAAGAGCATCTACTATGGTGGAAATGGCAAAGCTCAGAGTCCTCGGGCAGGTTCTTAGCACAACAGTAAAAGGACAGAAGAGAGGAGGCGAGGAGGTGAGGCAGGGCGAGAGCCAACACCAATGAGGGCGGACATTTGAAAGGGCCCAGGCAGGAAAAGCAGAGACAGCACAAAAGAGGTGAAAAGAGAGAGAAACGGCAACCCTCCCAAGGTTCGATCGGCAGCAGAATCTAGGCCCAACAGAAAGCACGTCTTGCTTTGTGAGCAGCTGACCCAGAGGACTACGGAATATGGCAATGGGACAATTGGAGCCCCTCGGGGGTGACAGGCTGAGGTCTGCCTACCTCCCCGAGTCGGCTCGGTGGTTACGTAATTGCATCATTAGGATGTCCAGTTCAAACCCCTTGTATTAATAATGTTGAATTAGACCTTCCAATTGAGTGTCCAAAGCACAACAAAAATTCTCCTCCCCACCCCCTCCCCCAACCCAGCCCCACAAAGAAAAGACTTTAAAAAACCAAAACCAAAAAACCAAAGTGTTGTCTTTAAGAAAAAAAGGCAGCTCCTGGGAAATTCACTTTCTCTCCCTCCGTGAAAAGGAAGATGCTAACAAGGTCAACAGAGGATGGCGATGAGGGCACACCTCTCTGACTTGCTTTGTTCGCATGTCTGAGTGTGGGGTGCGGTTCCGTTTTCGGGGTTGGCGGATAGGCTTGGGTGTGATACTCGGAGATGAGTGGGGGAGCGGGGGAGTAAAATCAGTGACTTCCGGGTGAAGGACTAAGAGGGAGCCCCATGAACTGGCTTCCCCACAGTAACTATCACAGGCTCTTAAAGGGGAATGGGGGGGGGGGGAGTAAGAAAGGAAGAAAAGTCTCAGAATGTCCGCAGGTGTCCCATCCCTCATCCCCAAGGGGGGTTCCAGGGGCCCGGGGCCTCTAGCCCAGGCTGGTGATGTTGGCACGGCCGCCAGGGGGTGCCACGATGCGCTGGGTGGTGCGGCGAGGAATGTTGTCGTCGATCTGGGCGCCTGGAGAAAAGAGCAGACAGACAGACGGGTCAGCGTCACCCGCAGGCCTGCCGCGCAAGGAACTACAAAATCGAGGGGCCCAAGATGCCCAGGGAATCCCACGCTCCGGACAGCAGTCTTGGCAGAAGCTAGGTGAATCTCTTACTTGACAAAGTCAAACGCCGTCTCGGCACGGCATCTCTGGCTTTTGACTGGTTCCGATTACAGGCCCAGGAGGAGTCTAACTGACAGAGGCTTCTCTGTGGAGGCAGCCCTCTCGCTGACGCCCTGACCCCACACATCTACTGACCGACCGACCGCACAGCCACAGGCAGGAGCAGTGGTCCCTTAGTCTGGATGGCCTGGAGAAATAGGGCAGCCCAGACATTATGCTGCCCATTCACTTTATGATATGTTTGTGTGTGTGCACGCCATATACATTTGGGTATTTTATCTGTGGCTGGGGGGCTAGAAGAGAGGAAAATTCTACTCATAAACGAAAATGAAGACGTGGAAGGAAAAGCAGAGCTGAAGCCCTGGCATCGGGCCCTTTCCTCCTAGCCATTCCCTCACATCCGTTTTCAGATGGCTCTGTCCAAAGCGCTCTGCGCGCACACAATGCGTTCCATCCTCACCACACCCCCGAGGTGGCTCCTATTATCTGGCCCATTCTGCAGCCTGAAGCACAGCCAGGCTCGAGTTCTGTACGGAAGTTGCTAAGTTCCAGGCTCCACAGCTGGACTACCCCAGTGCACTGCCTATGTGGGCAGAAGACATGACCCCAAACACCCCGACTTCATTGTTTTGTTTTCCAGGATGGATGTAACACACTGAAAAACATGGGAATTACACACAGTGTGTGCATCCTAGCATTATACTAAGATTATAAACTGAAGTTGGGATTCTGAAACACCGCCTGGTCATTTGTATGAAAACATCTCCCTGCTGAGATGAGTCCTTCCTACTAAGAGCAAAAATCATTCACAGCCTCAGGGAGGGTGGCCCTGAAGAGCTCGTGTGAACCCAAACTAGAACCGTACCGGACAAGCTGAACCCAGACTGGTGCAGGTTCCGGACAGGAGGGGCCTGTTGCTTGGCAGGAGACGTCTTGGCCGAGGAGGCTGGAGTGACCGTCTTGGGCGTCACCGACACCTCACACACCGGCCCATCGTAGAGGCCGCGAGGGACCCCTCTCAGCTCCGCCAGCTGGAAACATAAGAACCCCGCCAAGTCAGGCCCCAGTCACAGCCACCCAGCCACCGGGGGCTCAGCCTGGGGCATTGGGGATGGAGGAGCCCATCTCCCAGTGTCCGCAGGGGTCGCATGGCCCTCAATCGCCCACCGTTCCCAGCCAGAGCTCCCTTCAAGGTGGGGACGGGTACTGGGTAGCGCTATAGAAATGATGAGCATTTCTGACTTTTTTTCTCCAAAGCGGTATGACTTTAAGTCTTCTGGGATCCACTAACAGTTTGCCTCATGCTCTAGGCTGATCTCAAACTCTCCTTCCGATCTCACCCCGACCCCCACCCACTGCTTCAATTTCAAGCCCTTGCCTCCCCGTCTTCACCCCACTGCGCACCCCTCAGGCTCTGCACCTCCTCTTTCACAGACCCTTGTCTCCCGTATCGGACTGGACCGACCCCTTGGGAGCCCTCCAGACCTAACTTGAGACACTCCCTCTGGTGACACTCTCCCCCACGACTCCATAGCAGTGGCCTTGTCTCGGGTCTTCCCTGCCCGCTGCTAGAAGCACTTGACCTCTGAGGACCCACCTGACCCTTCCCGGGTCAGATCCTGGTACCCCCCCTTACTCATGCAGGATTGTGAATCACAGCGCTTCGTCCACAGAAGGAACAAGCCCCCAGCCACTCACCCTGCTCCTGGCCTTGATCCGCTTGTAAACGAAGTCGGGGAAGGGCTTGCGGGGGATGTAGCGCCCGGAGCCCTCGGTGACGTGAAGGGTGCCGTCCTCCAGCACGATCTTCCCCTGGCTGATCACCACCAGCGGGGAGCCCCGGCACTCCACGCCTTCGAACACGTTGTACTCTAGCGACTGCAGGGAGGAAGCAGGGCTGCCGTCAGAGCAGGCCCCGCCACTCAGGCTGGACCCCACTGCCCGGACACCCCCGGGGGTGGGGAGGGCCACATCCCTGTCCTGCCTGCTGCACTGACAGCCACTCCACCTGTGGCCTGATTTCCCTGTCTGTAAGCAGGTATCATCGTTCTCCTGCCTCACAGGACGCGTCAACCGAGTTGAAGGGTCACGGGGAGGAGACCAGCCAGGCAGGGTGCAGGAAAGCACCGATGAAACATACAACTGTCCTCTAGTTCTCTAATGCTTCTTCCCCACCACTAGCATGATCCCAATTCTCCCTTACAAATCCGGCTAGACCAGAGCATGTACACTGGTGCAGATAAGAGCTGGAACCACAAGGAATCCAGGACAGATAACCGTCAGGACCAGTGGTGTGAGTGGCGATACTGGGAGGGTGGAGTGTGATTGGGTGAGAAAGGGGGAACTGATCACAATGATCTACCTATAACTCCCTCCCTGGGGAACAGGCAACAGAAAAGTGGGTGAAGGGAGACGTCGGACAGTGTAAGGCATGACAAAATAATAATAATTCATAAATTATCAAGAGTTCGTGAGGGAGGGAGGGAGGGGGATGGAGGGGAAGAAAATGAGCTGAGACCAAGGGCTCAAGTAGAAAGCATATGTTTTGAGAACAATGATGGCAACAAATGTACAATTGTGCTTGACACAATGGATGGATGGATGGATGGATGGATGGATGGATGGATGGATGGTGATAAGAGGTGTATGAGCCCCCAATAAAAATGATTAAAAATAAAGCAGTGTCACACGGAAAAGCAGGTGGGTGTTCACCGTCAACGCAACACCCACCCGAGGGCGAGGAGCCCACATCCAGAGGCGACGTTCTTCTTGCCCGCTGAGCAACCAATGGGCTTCCTCAACCAAGGGCGAAATTTAACCTTGACATGGGGCCCCCACAAGTAGGGTTTCCCGCTGGCCTACCCCATTTTCCAATGTCCTTGCAACGTGGTTAAACGGAAATTCCTAACGGAGTGGACTGTGGGAACTTAAGAGGCACCATGCATGCCTCAGATGCACTCTGGGAGGGTTGGTGCCTTGCTGTGCTAGTCACATAATCTTGTGTCCATTTGAGGATTGAGAGTGTAGGGGTGGAGCCTGGCCTGTCAATCGGGATGTAGCCAATGGGGCCTCCGTGTGGGTGTGGAGACACTCCACTGGCAAGACACATGGCCCTACGCCCTGGGAGCTGGAGAAGCCACACGGACCTGCCCGGATGCAACCAGACCTCTGGTGCTAGAGATGCGACATGGCGACCCCTGCCAGCGCTGCGATGCTTACAACGCCACTGGATCCAAAGACTTCCCACCCACTGGCCTGTGACTGTCCTGCATCCACCATCATTGCATGTGTGTTGTGAGTCTGAAGAGGACTTTAGATTGGTATTGGACTTATGGGCTTGGAATGGACTGAGTTGGGATGCTTTCTTAATATACAATGACCCTTTCTATAAAATTCTCTCTTTAACACATGTAAGCATCTATGGATTTGTTTCTCTAGTTCACCCGGACGGACACACTGGCCAAATCAAGGCGGCCATGCTTTGGGCTTTAGGCTCCCCGGGTGGCGTGGAGCGGACCTGCATGCCTCGTGGAAAGCATGCCGGGCCTCTCTGGGCACAGCGATTGCTGTTGGGGGAAGAAGGAAGAGAAGAGCAGACACCAAACACGCCATGTGTCGGGACAGTCTCTCCAGGCGGCCACTTCCAGAGACTTCAGAGGGCCTCCTCGGGCACACAGGGCCATGGGAGAGGCCAGGCATAGATGCTTCACAGGCGGCTCCAACCATGGAGTCTCGGCTTCTGGGAAAATTCAACCAGGCAGAAGCTTCCGTCCAGGTTATCAACACTGATGGAGTTAGACGGCCGTCCAGGTTATTGGCACTGATGGAGTTAGATGGAGCGAGCTGTCACTGAGCTGCAGCTCAGGAGAACAGTTCTGCTTGGGGCACTGGTCAGCAGGGTGGACAGGCCTCGGTGTTAAGATGCAAGTATTGCCCCTGATTCATTCTTGAGTGACTGCTCCTAGTCCCACAGTGGAGCCTGAGGAAGCTGGCCAGGACCTGAGGCGGAGTGGCACCCGGGGGAGGGAAGAGGCCTCAGGTTTGCAGCCCCAAGTTCTACTGCCATGTCTCCCGGACGCCGAGACCCTCAACTCTGAAATCAGATGTGGCTCCTCATGGAGGGGACTGTGCACCACCGTTCACCCGGGCTGCTGGCAAGCTCAGCCAGAGAGCACTGTTATTCCTGCAGGCCTGGGGATTGCCAAGCCGAGGCCACTTAAACCCTTCAGGGAACATGTTCCTTCACCCTCCACCCTGCATGGAAGGTTTTCATTTCTACCACTCTTTTCGGCAGGCCTGGTTCAGGCCTTATTTAGTAGGAGGGCCCTCTTGGCCTACCTATCTTGGACGTCTTTTGTCTTTGTGATACACAACATCGTGGACCATCTTCAAAATTAATGGCCTCTCATATTTAGCGTCCCCAGGAGTTGCTGGCCTCTGAACAGACCACTTTAATTCTGCCCAGTGCCTCAGTTTCTTCACTGCCTACCTCTGGAGGCCGATCCGCAGAGAAGGCACGTAAAAAACCTCCCCCGTGTGCAATCACAGTGAGAGATTACATGCATCCCTAAAATCATCTTCCAAGAACGCTCAGCACTCCGAGCCTGGGCCAAGCGCAGTTCTTCCACGTCTCGTCCACAGCGAACCGACCAACTCCTCTTGTGCCCTCCCAGACATCATCTCATTGTAATCGGCACCCACCTGCCCTGGGGGTTCAAGTCCCAGGCCTGCCACCCACTCGCGCTGTGACCCATCACTTAAACTCCTCAAAGCAGCAGTTTTCTCAACAACTAAGGGATAAGGTTCCATTTGCACGACAGATGCCAAAGGCAGTGAAATATCACTGAATTAAAAGCATCTAGGAGCCCGGGGGTGGTATACGTTGGGTTGCAAGGTCAGCTAGTCAGTCCCTCCTCGGGAAAAAGACGGGTCTTCCTACCCGTGTAAAGAGTGACAGCTTGGAAACCCACAGAGGCAGTTCTAGCCTGTCCTGTGGGGTCGCCATGAGTCGCACTGACTCTAAGGCAGTGAGTTGAGCAAGCTACCTGGCACGCGGTAGGCATTCCGAAAATGCTCATTCACTCACTGTCTGGGGACTTTTGTCTCCTTTTGCATTTCCCCACAACCCTAAGCCTTTTAGTGTCAAAGGTATCATAAGACACATACACGGGGCTTCGAAACGTCCATAGAAAGTGGAATTAGAAGGCATTTCCACTAACTCGCAGAAGCCCCCTCCAGCTATTGTTTGTTGTTGATAGTTGCCTTCAAGCCGGCTCTGACTCACAGCGGCCTTATGTGTGGCAACTGAAAGCCTGCCCAGTTCTGTGCCACCTTCCTGCCTGGCTCAGCAAACATGCCGTTGTGACCCGCTGGTTTCTTTCATGGCCGAATTTCCGGGCCTTGCCTCCTAGCCTTTCGGTTTGTGGCGACTTGCTGGAAGTGATGCCATTTCAAATACGAGCTGCGAGGACAGCTTTTGGTAGAGTGTCCAGACTAAGACACCGAGCTAATGGCATGTGAATGAGTCGCCACGGAGCACCGAGAATAGCTTTTGGGTGGCCTGCCATGTTCAGAAAGTCGGGGGGAGCCAGCCGCATATCGCTAAATGACTTAAAACGGACCAGCCCAAGAGTCAGACCACAGCTCAGGGAGTTCAGCTCCTACCCTTTTGCAGCAGGTGCAGACGCTGCCACCTACATCTGCCCACGCTCACTGGCTGGCTGCCTGGAAAAGCCAAGCAGAGGCTTCCCAACAGATCTGTCAAGAACAGTTTGCTGGATGTTCCGAATTAGCGCTCAGCGGCCTCGCGGTCAGAAGTGCTGGATTACAGGGGGCAAGCCTTTCGAGTGTCTTTTCCCACATGATTAATGCCGAGTGGGCCTGCTTGGTTTGGCTCTTGAAAACAGGTGAGGACTAAAGGGGCACTATGGGCGGCCAACACGTCTCACCGGGTCACCTGATGCCTAGGTAAAGCTGGGGGGGTGGCAGGGATCTGCTGCTCCGGGGAAGGTTTGGGGGAGCTCTGTACAGAGGGTAGGCCCTGCCGGCCCACATCCTGACTCCTTCACATCCCCTCTTCCTCCAGGGTCAGAGTTCTAAACGAGGTCACCTGCATCCGAAACAGTGAGCCCCGTTTTCCCTTTGGGCCATCGCTGAGGTAGGGAAGGGGCTCTGGAAGGGAGCTGGGCGGGAAGCACTATCTCCCATCTGCCACGGCGGCTGAGAGGTTGCGCCTGCAATCCGGCAGGGAGGGCCCTGGACAACGTTGGACTCTAATTCTGGCTCTACCGCAAAATAGCTATGTAACATTAGACTGGTCAGTTATGCTTGCTAAGCCTGTGTTTGTTTATCTTCCAAATTGGGATCATAATACCAGTCCCTTTATCGAGCTGGTCAAATGAAACAGTAAATGGGAGCATGCTTTTAAATGCAGACCTGCATATAGGCCCACTGGGCCTGCCAGCAACAGCCCCCGTGGGCCCCCAGGAAGGGACAAATCCAAGATGGAAGTGGATTGGTTGGGAAGCTGTGCTGGAAGGCAGAGCAAACAGCAACAACAACCAATCCCCAACTTATGGCTACGGAGTCAACTCTGACTCCCAGGGACACGACAGGTCAGAGCAGAGCTGTGGCTGTAAATCATCACCCAGAGCCTCAGCTTCGTCCCTCGGAGCAGCTGGTGGGTTCAAACGGCTGACCTAGCAGCTCCACACATTACCCACTGTGCTACCAGGTCTTCCAGGGATAAGGGATCCAGCCACAGACACTGAGAGCTCTGTCAAGAGGCACCCACCAACTCTGCACCCAAAGCACCTCACGCCAAGTGACGGAGAGATGGAGAAGGGTCCAGGCTGGTTGTGGAGAAAAGACCAAAAAGCTACCTCTGCGCACTCTAGGAAGAGCAATCTAGAATCATGTTATCAACCGAGGCCGCTCTCGGTTCAGCACGTCAAGTATTAGATCTTCTCCATTCAGGAAGAACCCACTGCAGGGTGTATGTGAGTCCCTGACACCGAGCCCTGCTCTGCCCCAGACGCACTCCTCTCCCAAAGCGCACTCTCGTGGGTGTTCCTCCCCCATTACATATGGTTTTATACATGGATGTTTTGGTGTGTTCCAACACATACAGATTTTAGGAATTGCTGGTATCTAACACCTCAGCTCTCGGCTTACCGACCACGACCCTCAGAGACCTGGCCTGCCCTCCCTCCCTCTCAACTGGGAGGCCTGGGACAGGAAGCAAGTCTCCTGCCCACGGTTTAACGAGAGTAGCCTGGCCCTCTCTCCACCACAAAACCGAAAGGACTGAGGGGATACTTCTTTGAGAAGCGACAATCCATGAATTCCTTTAAGGCTGTAAGAGCATCCGCCCCGCAGGTTGTCATAGCAATGCTGCTGCAAAGCAACAAGGTGTTAAGAGGATAAAAGTATCCACTAAGCATCTCAGGAACAGAGGTTTTTACATCCCTCATGCTAAGTACTGTCACGAGAGGTGTTCCTCCAAATCATTGACTTCTAGAAGCTTCTGCCAGGCCAGCGTGACTGTGGAGGTCCTGGGGATGGAGAGGCCTGGTGTGAAGGGTACTGAGCACATGGATTTCAGTCAGCTCTCACTGCCATGGAGGCTGCGATTCTGCCTCGGAGCCTACAGGGCAGCGCAGAACTGCTCGGTGCGTTTCCGAGACTGTAACTCTTCATGCGAGTAGAAAGCCTCATCTTTCTCCCCAGGAGCAACCAGCAGTTTCGAACTGCTGGCCTTGCTGACGGTAGCCCAGTGTGTACACGTTTTTTTAAATTCTCCTCAGAAATCGCAAGTTATGCACTTGGTGGGGGGGAGTTAATTCCTATTACACTGGATTCCTCCTAGCCCTCCCCACTGGATTCCTCTCCTAGCCCTCCCAGCTGGATTCCTCTCCTAGCCCTGCCCACTGGATTCCTCTCCTAGCCCTGCCCACTGGATTCCTCTCCTAGCCCTCCCCGCCCCTGGGTCTCCAGCTGTGACTTACGCTGTTGTGCGTCTTGGCTGAGATGGTCTTCACGGTGTCCGGATCCCAGATGACCAGGTCAGCATCGGACCCCACAGCGATGCGGCCTTTCCGGGGATAAAGGTTGAAGATTTTGGCTGCATTGGTGCTGGTCACAGCCACAAACTGGTTCTCGTCCATCTTGCCAGTTACCTACGGGGACAACACGCACCCCAAGAGCATGTCAGGAAGCTGAAAGGTGGATGCTACGTAGCAATTGACAAAAAGAACATGTGGCGGGTGCACACAGCAACTCGAGGGCCTCACGGCCGGTGACACCGGGAACCCCCGCTGCGCGGGCACACGGCTTTAGCATTCCCCAGATGGAGGAATTACAGAGCTGGTCGCCTGGGCTGCGGGGTGGTGGGGGGATGGGAGTCGGTGCAGCTATAAAGGGAAAGACAGCATGAAGCTGCTCCACACGATCTTGGCAACTTCTTCTAAACCTACAACTGGTTTGCAATAAAACGCTGTTGCTGTTGTTGTGGCTGTTGTAATATTTGAAGGGTTTGCACCAACTCTCCAGGCAGTACCAGCTGTCTTGATTGGCTGCTGTTTTCAACAAGATATACACGCCCACCCTATCTTCTGGTCTAGCCCCCACCCAAAATCTCAACCCACGTCTGACTTAAAGCAGTATGCCTCACATAGTTCCTCCACTCCGTTCCTTCCCTGTAATTTCTTATCTTTACCACTTGGGCTCAATTGTCCCTTTAAGCCGAGGATTCAAGGAAATGACTATATTATCTCTGAATTAGAACACCCACTCTACATCTAGTAGAAAAGTCGACAAAGAAATGATCAGATATACAAAGTGTTGAGGGAAAAAACCTCATAATCAGGGAGATACTATTTGCTGTAATTAGAAAATGAAGATATTCAGTGAAAGACAATAAGATACAAAATTCGAGTTCTTGCTTCAACACTGATAGTGATGTGGACCAGGTAAAGGAAACCTTCCTGGGCATGAACTCGGTACAGTCTTCCTGCTAAACGTTCTGGCACGATCTACCAAAATCTGGAAAATATACAGGCCCTGTGACCCAGCCAGTCATTTCTAGAGATTTCTGAGACATAACGAAGAACATGCACCAAAGATGTTTCTACAAGGGTGTCCCTATCAGTAAAATATAAAATAAATGATCAGTGCATTAAAAAGGAATTGGGGTTCAGAATTAAGATGGAATCAGGTTTCAAGTTTGTTTAAGGATATCGTCACATTTTTTGTGGCACACTAAAATTTTTAAAAATCAGATTAAACAAAATTGCAAGCATGTTGACACCAATGTGATGCAGACACACACTCACACACTCACGCGCGCGCACGTCGTGCACAAACGCCTGTCCTCACCCTCTGGTGAAAAACAGGAAGCCATCCATCCAACTGAACTACAGTTGATTCAGAAACACGACCTTCTCAGTGATTTTAAGCACTTCCTTTTTCTTTTTGAAATCACGCTATCTCGATTACATAGCCTAACATACGTATTAACACACACACACACAACAGTTGGGTTACTGTATTTTAAAATACTGAAAACGAAAAAGCCCAAAGATTCTATAAAGGTCAGTAGATGTTGGGAATGCTAAGCTCAGAGAGCCTAAGAGCCAGTTGTAAAAAAACCGAGGTAGTTTCCAAGTGGCAGAGAGCTAACCCTTCCGGTTGCTAAGGAAGCTTCTTTTCCTGACAACCCAGATAGTCCTCTTTTAAAGACTCCCAGGCTGGTCTCAGTCTCTACTGCTCCACTGATGATAATGACAGGGGATATATACGAGGGGGCTTCAAAAAGCTTGTGGAGAAAATTCCATTACCTCTTCATTCTATTTTCCCACAAATTGTTTGAAGCCCCTTGTGTGCACTATGTAGACAGAAATGCCTCTAAGAAGCGCGTCTTTCGCCGGACAGTGTAATATAAGATACAATAATAATTTATAAATTATTAAGGGTGCATGGGGGAGAGGGGAGGAGGAAGGGAAGGGGAGGGGGGAAAAAAGGAAAATGAGCTGATTCCGGGAACCCAAGAGGCAAGCGAATTTTGGGAATAATGAGGGCAACAAATGTATAGATGTGTTTTATACAATTGATCTATGTATTGTGATGAATTGTATGAGCCCCAATAAACTGATTTAAAAACAAAAAAAGAAGTGCGCCTTTGATTTCCAAGCCTAAGAATGGCCACCACACAAGTATCAGTTTCTACAATTCCCTCGACTGCAGTCTCCGGGCCTGCCTGAGACCCAGAGCCCTCAGCTGAGGCGGGTGGGGAGAGCCGAGACCACCCCAGGGGTGAGGTTACTGTTCCTTACCACAGCCTTGTCCCAGATGATGGACATCCGCTCCTCGGTGCCATTGGTACCCTCAGGGATCAAGGTGAAGTTATCCTTCCCGACAGCCTTCTGGGCTGTGTTGAAAGTACAGTGGGCACTGCCAGTAACCTGGAGATCGCCACTGCAAGGAAAACACGGGACTGGCTTTTAGCTCACCTTTGACTGCAAATCAACCTTGGAAAGTTATTTCAATGTCACCGAAAAACAAACAAACAAAACTGTCCTTCCCCGGGACAAAGGCTATCTGGGGAAAGGTTTGATAGTGAAGCTTCAAGGTAAGGTTGAGAGTCTGACCCTCTGCTGAGGGGCCCCCGTGTACGCTAATGGGATGCTTTCCATACCTGGCGAATGAATGTCCTTAGGTTGACTTTCAAGATGGCCCAGGTTTTACTATCCAAGTCCTTCCCAGGATGACATAAAGAGCGATGGTTCTCTATTCTTATTTAAAGATCCAGTGACCACAGGTCTGTGTGCAAGCCTGCTTTCTGCCACTGTATCTCAAGCCACTAGGTCGGTTGGGTGTGAAAACGGATGGACAATAGGGAAGTGTGACGGGCCCACCAGGACTCACCAGGACAACAGGGAGTTCAGAAAGTCCGGAGTCGTCGGATCCGGGCTCAGGGGTGGCGAGGTGACAAAGGCAGCAGCCTTGGCCCAGTTCTTGCTCCAGTAGTGAGAGCCGTCAGTTCCCAAGCTGGCAGTGATGGGCTCCCCATACACCACAGTGCCTGGGGAACAGAAAGAGCAGCTTCAGCAGGATACAGACACCACTCTTAGGGAGAAGCACTGTGCCCAGCACGCTGACCAGCTTCCCGAAGCAACATGAGCCGCCTCTCACCAACAAGACATTGTTGCACAACTAGGAAACAGGAGTCCGAGTCACCCCTGGAAGGGAGTGGCCCTGGAGAGCCACCAGATTCATGGGCACGTTTGCAAGATCGGGGGAAAACTATTTTGTTAGTCAAGCCATGGAGATGCCTGCATTTCAGGAAGCTGGTTGTCGGGTGCCTTCCAGGCAGTCCCAGGTTCAGGGCGAGCCCAAGCCCAATGGGGAAAATTCTCCCCAGTCCTGTGCCACGTCCCCCGGATCAGGCTGCATGCTAGGCTGTTGGGATCCATAGTGGTTTCCAGGGCTGAATTACAGAGAAAGAGTGCCAGGCCTCTTTTCCCAGTCCATCCTAGTCTAGAAGCACCACTGACACTATTCAACATGGTAACAGGCAGGATTCCACCGACACACAGGCAGGTGGGAGTGGCTTTGTACAAAGTACTTGGGCAGGAATCGGAACACCTGGAATGGAAGAATTCTACCACGGAAGCACTTATTGCAACATCCAAAACGAATCCAAATCCCATTGTCTTATCACTCTTTTCAGGAGCTAAAACCAGGAAGATGTGAACAAATTAGAGCCAACCCCAACACAACACAAAACCCACTGCCACAATCTAGCTGACTGCGACTCAGGGCAACCCTATTTAAAAACAACAGCAAGCCCACCCATCAAGTCAATTCTGACTCAGAATGAGTTTTTGGGTTTTTGAAACTATAAATCTTGACAGGAGCACACAGCCTCATCTTCCTCCCACTGAGCGGATGGTGGGTTTGAACTGCGGACCTTGCAGTTTGTAGCGTAATGCCTAACTCACAGCACCAGCAGGGCTACACTGGTGACCCTATCACCATAAACCAAGCTCACTGCCACCAAGTCGATTCCGACTCATGATCCTCTAAGACAGAACTGCCTCTGAGGGTTTCTGAGACTATAACTCTTTATGGGAGTAGAAAGCCTTGTCTCTCTCCAGAGGAGTGGCTGGTGGTTTCAAACTGCTGACCTTGTGGTTAGCAACCCGACAGCACAGGATAAAACTGTTCCCCAGGATAAACATCGTCATGGAAGCAGAAAGCCGCATCTTTCTACTTGAGGAGCTGCCGGTGGATTCCAATTGCTTTACGTTGGGTTGGCAGCCCCCCAACACAGAACCCTGTGCACCTCCACAGTTCCTGATAGCCATTGAGTCTGAACGCCGGACACGCTTCCTCTCCTCCTTACTCCAGACCCTGCTTTACGCCAGGTCCTTTCCACTTCTCCTCACCTCAACACCCAGACTCACTGCCACTGAGCCACTTCCCACTCACAGTGGCTCCGTAGGACAGGGCAGAACTGCCCCTGTGGGCTTCCGAGGCGGTAACTCTTTCCAGGGTCGAAAGCCTCATCTTTCTCCCTTGGAGCAGCTGGTGGCTTCAAACTCCTGACCTTGTGGTTAGCAGCCCACACGTAAAGATGCCAGGGCTCTTCCGCACATTTCGATTTTTGCTTTCCCAATCCTCTTTCTCAGTCCGTTGGTTCCCCATGGACCTCAAATTGCCCCAGCCAATCCCTTGCAAAAAGTCCTCCTGTGCAGAGGCTCCTTCTTAAAGATACAAGCTCCTTCCAGAAGGACCTACTGCCATCATTACCTGGGCCTCATATCAAAGCTGATTCCTCCTTCAGCCTCACCCCAAGCCCAATTCAGGCATTAGTTCATCTGTCTCATGTCCCACACCAATAATCAGTATTGAATTTTCTGATTCCCCTCGTAATGAGAACTCCCTAAATATCGTGCCTGCGTGTAATGTTGTTGCTGTGTTGTGAGGTACCACTGAGTGGGTTCCAATTCAGACAGACCTCATGTACAACCGTGTACGGTCTCACCAAACACACACACACACAAACCCTCACTGCCACCAAGTCGCCCTGGATTGCAATCTGTAAGGTCAGCAGCTCAAATCTACCAGCAGCTCTGTGGGAGAGACAGGGCTTTCTACTCCCATAAAGAGTTAACCTCCTTTGAAACGCACAGGGGTGGTTCCACCCTGTCCTCCAAGGTGGCCGTGAGCTGCCATCGACTCGATGGCATTGAGTTTGGTTTGGGGCTTACAGGACAGGGTAGAACTGCTCCTGTGGGTTTCTAAGGTTCTAACTCTTTACGGGAGTAGAAAGCCTCATCTTGCTCCTTCAGAGTGGCCAGTGGTTTGGCACTGCTTCCCTTACGGTTAACAGGCCCACACGTAACCACTATACCAGTAGGCACACTCAATAAATATACAATCTATTGATCAGGTGGTCTAATTAGCAATGCATTCAGAACTGGAATGGAGGTCAGCTTATTACCACCCGGCATCCACCTCTCTCCTCACCATCAGAGTCCAATCCACCATCCTCAACAATGCAGCCAAAGTACCCTTTTTCTCCATACAGGGAGTCCAGACAGCTCTTAGGCCACATACTTCTCACTCAGGAATGTGTGGCTCTTCCTCTCTACAGCCTTCTTGAGGGCCTTGTCACTTGATAAATATAATATTTATCGCCCTCCTTGCCTCAGTCTGCCACTGGCTCTGGGGAGTTGCTCCCTCCAGCCTCAGGAATTTCACAGAGGAGTTACTCTTCAGGCCGGGAGTGTGGCTGGGCAGGGCCAGGGCTCACTTCAAAAACGCAGTCTCAGTCCTCCAGCAGGAGGCTGGCTCCGGAACCCAGAAGTGCCGACTAATGGAAGCCCCAGTGAAGACAGGAGGCATCGCTCAGAATGGCCAGGAAAGCTCCCCGGGAGCTCCGAACCACTCCAAGTCTCCCAGCCAGAATGTGCTCCAAAGGGCCAGCTGGGTGGCTGCACACACCGGCCGGCACATCCGAAAGTGAAAAAAAACACCACATAACTAACAAGCCAGCCTGTTGTGGTGGAAATGAGAAGGTTCCAGAGAGCAGAGCTGGTGGGAGGGAAGAAGGGCTTGCCGATCATTTGGAAGTCCTCAGGGGCATCAACATAGAAACAGTTTCAGGACTTTTCTGAACCGGTTATAGCCTCTCCACCTCTTCTCTCCCTCTCCCCCTCTGGATCTGCTGTGCAGCCCTGCCTGTGGAGAGGTCAGCACGGGGAGAGGATGCTCGTCGCAATGCGTCCTGAATGTCCAGCTGAGCGATGTTGACTGCGGGCTTTGGAAATGCACCCCTCATCAAAGACCAGGGTACGCCAAGGCCAGAGCCTACAACTCCTCCCTCTACCGGAGGAGGAACTTGACCTTCTGCCGCTGGAAACCCCAGAAATAGGGCAGAGTGTTCCAAGGTCTTTGCTGGCCAGCCAGACCCTACTTCCTTAGACCTGGCTGAGCCAGGACTCCTGGGCCTGGGCCACACACACTAACACAGGGGTGGCCGAGGGGGGCCTTGGAGGAGAGGCAGCGTGCTCCTAATTCTGCTTTCTTCTACTCAGATCCCCCCAGGAAGCCAAAGGCCCTCGCTTGGATTTTATTTCTTTTCTTCAGCCTCAAAAAGCAAAAAAGGGGTTCTAAAATAGGTGGTGGTGATGACTGCACACGTCTTCCCAGTATGTTCAAGCCACCGAGCCGTACGATATGGGAATTACACGTCCAAAAAACTGTTCAGATTAGGTGCTTTAAGGCAAACAGGGAGTGAAGCCGTCTTGCATCTCAAGCCCCTGCAGTCCCTGACTGGCGCAAAATGCTCCGGCTCGGTCGCTAAACGGAAGGTTGGAGGTTCAACTGCACCGAGAAGCACTTGAGGAAGAATGCCTGGTGAAGTGTTTCAGAAAGGTCACCGTCTTTGAAAACCTGCCCTTGCACACACAGGTCTCTTCTGAAACGCAGGGAGTGAACGCAAGCCAGATTCTTTTAAGGCCGACCTCCACCTCCAGGGGGAGCCCAGGTGCCCTCTCCGGAGCCTCTGCCTCCCAGCTCCCGGATCAGAGGATCAGACAGAGAGAGCCTCCCCCGCTTCTCTCCCCATCTTATTAACAAGAGGGAGCTAAGGGTGAGCTGATGGAGGCCGGTCAGGCCACAGTGCCATGTCACTGCATGCCAGCAATAATGACCAGCAATAACAATAAACCAGAGAATTGGCTTAATGGGCCTTCCTGCACTTCTGGGGACACACTGCTGACGCTTTCTTGGCAGCTGCTGGACCCTCATGATTCTCTTCTCCAGAGAGTCTAAACTGAAAGATGTCACCCCCACCCCACAGGCCAGCCCTTGGCAGGCTCTCCCACCGCGGCCGGCTGGGAACTGCAGGCTTAGCGGGTAGTGTTCATTCACACCAAGCATGAAATGACAGGCGAGGGCTGAGAAAGGGCTGACAGCGGCCCAGCTCTGCCAGTTAACTTGTAAGGTCGTTTCCTGCGAACAAGAAGCCGGAGGACAAATCCAAAGTGGGACTAACTGAAAAATCCTTGGCATGCATTTCAACATGCAGTTGCAAAAACACAGCGAAAGCTGACCTGGAGCATGGATGGACGGACAGACGGACAGGGCCCCTCGCATCCCAAGTGAGGACGGCTCTCGGAGGAGGGAGCCTTGGAAGTGGCCACAGCCCACGCTCCATCTGGAGTCTGGGAAGGAGGCTGCCGGGTGGTGGAGCAGCTTAGTACCGGGGCCTCAGGACCACATTGTGCACGTCATGTTGGAGTCATGACTAGAAGCCCACAGGGTCTTGTCTGGAGGCTGGATTTCTGGGGGCTTATGTCTCTCAGCAGCCATCATAGTTCTGGAGGTTTCGGCAGCTGGGTTCAGGGTGGGAGTGAGCAGGAGGAGGTCATTGGGCACCGCTTACATGCTACTATCCACACATGGGAGGCATCAGCAGGCTCCCGTGCAAGATTCCACATGGACAAAGGGCAGTCCTGGGAACTGAGAACTCCTGGGGTGGTGCTGGACTTTCAGCTGGAAAGAGAGTTAACCAGAAGTCTGGAATCAGGGTTTTTTCCCACGTGCTAGAGGATCCAGATACCACCTTGAGGACTAAGGTGAGCCTGATCTGAGCCATGCTTTGGCTCTTTCCCAGTTGCCTCCTATTCATGCCAAAGCTGGGCACTGAATAAAGAAGACCACAGGAGAATCGAGGGATGTCAACTGTGGTGCTGGCCAAGATCACTGAAGAGACCACAGCCTCCCGGGACAAACAAATGTCTGTCTCGGAAGCCAGAATGTTCCTGAGAAGGAAGGATGGTGAGATGTCATCTCAGAGAGTTGGGACAGGTTATCAGGAGGGACCAGCCCCAGGAAACGGAGATCATGCTTGATAAAGTAGAGGGTCGGAGGAAAAGACGAAGACCTGAAGGAGTGGCTACAACCATAGGCTTAAAGAAGACTGTGTGGATGGTGCCGGCTGCAGCACATGCAAGCCTGCTGTAGGCACACAGGGCCGCTGTACGGCAGAAACGGCGGCACCCAAGCACCCAACAACAGAAGATCCAGAGCCAGGCACTCGGTCTTTCCTCCATGGTAGGAGCCCATTACATCCACCCAAGGGAAGTTCTTCTCAAAAGCAGGAACTGCCCAAGGTATGCTGACCATGGCTGTATCACTTCCTTATCTGAAAACGGGGATGGATGCCATCCTCCTGGGCGACACAGAATGAATGGCAACAGCATACGTCACTCTCTCAAGGGAGGGCCAGGCAGTTGTGTGGGGTCAAGTGTTGTTTTATGCCATCCATGTCGACTCTGATGACGCTACAGGGCAGAGGGCAACTGCCCCAAATGGGCCCTAAAGCTGTCAATCTCCCAGAATTGGGTTGAGTGGGCATGTGAGAAAATAGTTATCAGCATTTTAGCTCCTACCCTCACCTGTCTAGGCCCCTCCTGCCCTACACTGGGGGCCAGCAGGCTCTGTGTGTGGAGACACACGGGAATCACTACGAGAGGTACATGGTCGTGCTATTCCTGCCACGGGCAGGGTCCTGCTTTTTAACAGCTCCCATCACATCTGTGGAGCCCTCTTAGGCAAGCTGGAGGAGCCCCGGTGGCAGCGTGAGCTGAGCACTGGCCTGCTATCTGCAAGGTCAGCGGTTTGAAACTACCAGGTGCTCCTTGGGAGAACGATGAGGCTTTCTAATCCTGTGAAGACTTAAGACTTGCAGCTTCAACAAAACGACAGAGGTCGGTCGAAATGAGTCGAAACCATGTTGATGGCAGCGAGTTTTATGCAAGCTGAAGGAGCCCTGGTGGCAACGTGGTTAAAGGACTCAGCTAGTAACCAAAAGATTGGCAGTTCAAACCCAGTAGCTGCTACATGGGAGAAAGACGTGGCAATGTCTGCTTCTGTAAAGACTTAATCTTTCCTGTCCTGTAGGGGCACCATGAGTCAGAATGAATTGGATGACAGTGGGTTTGGAAGACACAAGCTGACACCCTGCCAAGCGTTCCCAGGTTTGTTGAAGCACCGAGCCCCAAGAGATGCAGAGAAGGGACAGAGACTGGCAGAGCATGAGCAAGCCCATCAGGCATTAACAGGGTGTTGGTGGCATGTGGCCTCACAGCTGGCCACCTGAGGATCTGGTCCCAATCGCAGCATGGACTGCAGAGTCAAATCCGATCCACAACCCCCTGTCCTGACTCTCTGACAAATGTTACTAAGTTCAAGCAAGATATGAAAGACCTCTTGGGTCCTGCAATGAACCTCCCATTCCGTATGAGGCCCCAAATGCACCAGCAAGTCCTTTCTGGCAAGACAGGCTCGTCTCAAGTTCAGGCTGCCAGGGACTAACAGTGACAGTTTGAATGCAAGAGCCACCTGAAACCACAGCGGGGGCACTGGTGGGCTCATACCCACAGGCCCCCAGATGAGCAGAGGGAAGAAGTCCCACCCCATACACACAGGGTAACAAAGCTGTCACCACACAGAGCGACACTGGGCACCAAGTCACACTGTGAGAGCAGAAAGGGACTGTCCAATAGCCCGGCCTAGCTCCGCCCCATCGAATAAAGACACAGAGGTGCAGAACAGGGAAGGGGGCTTCAGCCCTGTGGCCTGACTCCCCAACTCAGTCCAGAGCTAGTTCCACAGCTCCCCCTCCCTCCGGTGTGGCACTGCTGGCGGGTGGCCCCCTCCAGCCCGGTAAGGATGGATGTGGGGTCAGCTTCAGGAAACAAGGCCCCAGCATATGAAGCTGCGAGTAGACTAGTGTTGAGTGCCCACATGTGACCAGTCACAGGTGTGCCCAGGTGTTTCCTAGCAAACCAACTCAAAGCTGATTCTAAATACATATATATACACACACACGCTAACACAGCCACCAAGTCAAGTCCAACTCTGCAGGGCAGGATAGAACTGTGCTGTGGGTTTCCAAGACCGTAACTCTGTATGGGAGCAGAAAACCTCATCTTTCTCCTGAAGAGTGGTCCGTAATATGGAACTGGTAACCTTGTAGTCAGCCGCCCAAATCTTAACCCACTACATCACCAGGCCTCCCTTGATTCTGAAATCCCTTAATTTCATGTTTTTCATTTCAAAAATGCAATTCCTTCCAGCTGTCAGGAGAGGCCAGGTCTCAGAAAGGGACCACAGCAGCCACCTGAAGAGGAGGTAAGTCCAAGGAGAGCCCTAAAGACCAGGGGCTGGAGCTTGCTCAGTTCATCTAGACTTCACTGTCATCTGTTCTCACAACCGGACGCAGTGGTCACTCAGCACTCTGTCCTAGGTCTTGCTCCAAGTCACCCACATTATCCATGCTGCTCAGGTCTGGTGGAAAGCCAGGTGGTGAGTCATAACTGGGAACGGAATCCATTACTGACAGAGAAAGAAAGGCACAGAGGGACAGAGAGGAAGGGAAGGATGGATGAATGAGGGATAGATGGGTGGGTAGGTGGATGTATGGGTGGATGGATGGATGGATGAGTGGGTGGATGGATGGATGAGTGGGTGGATGTATGTATGGATGAATGGATGGCTGGGTGGGTGGTTGGGTGGATGGATGGGTGGGTGGATAGATGGATGGGTGGATGGATGGATGGATGGACAGAAAATGATGATGGATGGATGAAGGATAGATGGATGAATGATGATGGATGAATAGATGGATGGGTAGATGGATGAATGATAGATAGATGACTGGGTGGATGATGGATATAAAGATCTGAAAATCCAGACAGAAAGACCACGAAAGAAACCAAGAGAAATCTAGGCAGAAATCAAGAGGAAAAAGGAGAAACATGGAGAATCAGAGATGGGAAAATAAATAAGAAAGAGGAAGAGATAGAGACCCAGAGAGTTAGAGAGAGAGAGCTGGGGAAACCACACTAGGGGAAGAAAGAAGAGGAGGGGCGCTCCTTCCTATGAGGGCCATGGTCAGAGCAGTCTAAGGGGCAGTGTCACAGCCAGGTCTGTTCTAGCAGGCTTTCTGCACGTGGAGCCGCATTTCCATCACGAGACGCGCTGTGGGATTGCCCCCAGCCAGGGCACAAGCAGCGGGCTGCAGCAAGGCACGGCTGCATGCATAATTGACTCAGTGTTCCACAGAGCATCCCCTGGAATAGGGGCTGGAAGCTGCAATTAGTAAATTAGTTTCCACGGATGTGCCAACAGAAGCCCCACCCGCGGCAGAGAACATACGGATGCATCCAGGAAGCGCTGATTGACAGGAAGTGCTAGAGTAACCGGGCGACGGGATGGGGTGCAGGGCAAACCCCCCTCCCCGAGGCTCCCTTCCTTACCATGTCCGGAAACCATAACCAGCCATGGAGGAAGCAGCACGCTGCAGCGTAAAGCCCAGAAGGCTGCCGTGGCAGACGAGAGTGACGCCATCTGCGCGTGTGCCCAGTTTAGTTAGACTGTGGCCAGTTACGTCCAACGTGTCTGCCCACCCACTCTGGGCTGCACGCGGCTTTAAATAGACCCGAGCAAGGCCGCCGCAGCGGAACAAAGGGAGGAAACCGGAGCCGGCGGGCGCGCCTCACTGTAATTAGGTTAATGCTGGGACATGATCAAAGTGGCACACTTGGCACGAGGGTCTGGAAAAGCAACCGCTCGGTGGGGGGCGCCCCCGCCCCTCGCAGCACTCACCCTTTTTCCGGGCCTGGGCGATGACTTCCGCCGCACTCTTGCTCATGACCTTGGTGATGTAGAGCGGACAGTTGGTCTGATTGGCGATGGTGATGGAGCGGTTCACGGCCTCCGCCTCCACCTGGAAAAACGCACGCGCGTGTGAGAACACGACCCCGTCTCCGGGTCCCCCACCGCCAACATGACACGCGGGCACAGTGCAATATGGAGCGGGCGCCCCGGGGGCCCCCTCTGCGTCTCGAGGGTGGTGGCTTGTCCCTCTTAGTCACGATCTGTTCATTGGAATGATGGGGACCGCCTTCCTGGCTTTAAAACTGTGGCTCTCTGCGTGGTCAGCACGCCCGCAACTTCAGCCTGGGATGGTCTCGAAATGCACTCTCGGGCCCCAACATGGACCCTACAGAATCAGCCACTCCGCAGGTGGGACTCAGCCGGGAGTTTTAACCGCGGGTGACACTGAGCTCAGCGCAAAGCGGTGGCTAGCCACAAGGTCAGTGGGTCAAACCTACTGGTTGCTCTGTGGGGGTGGTCTGCTAGCCTAACGACTTACAAGTCTCAAAAACCCTTCCGCGCAGATCTGTTCCTGTTGTATAGGGCCGTGGTGCGTGGCAATCAACGTGATGGCGGCGGGTGGGTTTCAGCAATGCTAGGGGAGAGATGAGGCTTTCCACTCCCGCAGAGTGACCGTCTGGGAAAGCTACCGGGGCAGTTCTACCCTGTCCCACAGGGTCGCTATGAGCCGGCATGGACTCAGTGGCTGCGAGAGTCCCTGGATGGTGCAGATGGTTAACGGGCTTGCCTGCAAACCAAGAGGTGGGTAGTCAGTCTGCTCCAACTTACTGCCATCGAGTCCACCCTGACATGCAGGGACCCTCCAGGGGGGTTCTGAGACCGTAACTCTTGAAGGGAGCAAACAGCTCCCTGTTCCCTTGCAGAACAGCTGGTGGGTTTGAACAGCTGGCCTTGAGCTTAACAGCCCAATGCCTACCCCATCACCTACGGGTGCCCTGAAAGGAAGGTGTGGTGACTTACTTCCAGAAAAGCAGCCAGGGAAACCTTCTGGCAGGCACGTGGTCATGAGGAGTTGGCGCGAAGCCCTGGTGCCATTGTGGATTCAGTGTTAGAGGCTAACCGCAAGGCTGGCAGTTCCAGCCCACTAGCCATTCCACTCCTCGGGAGAAAGATGGGGCTCTCTGCTCCCCATAAAGAGTTACAGCCTCAGAAACCCTACACAGGGTCACTACAAGTCGGGGTCCATCAGACAGCAATGGGTTTGGGGACTTTTAAAAAATGCTTCTTAACATTTGAGAGCCACTGTGCAAGGAAGCACTGTTCTGACTCGGCGTATTCACTCTGCTGACATGGTCTTGGGGCCAGGATGTGCAGGGATGTTGTTTGTGTGCTGGGCTTGGGTCACACGCCCATGAGCGAAGCATCATGGCCCACAGAACAATGCAACCTCACAGGGCCCGCAGGAAGGAGCAGACGACATCTGTGTAAATCAAAGGGCCCCTGTGTGCAAAACACGTCAGGCTGCCACTGGCCTGCCACAGCCCGGTACGAGCTTCGCCATGAAGGAAGTAGCTGCTCTCAGAATCTGGGTCTTTAGGCCTGACTGGGGATGATTATCATTTCCCTGACTGGGGATGATTATCATTTCCACCCCCCCACAAGATTCCAACTGATCCCTGTTCAGTACCCAGTCAGGTAGGACCTTTCAGAAGAATCCACAATGAGTGTCTTTAATGAGCAGCCGAAAGAGCAGGTTAAACTGTGGCGCTGCAGGTCTCCAGAACCCTTGTGCCCCTTGACAACCTCTCTAAAGGTTAAATAGACAGGGAGTTTGTCTTAACAAGGGAAGAACACTTCAGACAAGGATGAGGATGGTGATGCAACTTGAAGAACATAATCAATGGCACAGAACTGCACAGTGAAATGGCATGTTCTGCTGGGCAGATTTTCAGTGATGACCAAACCAGGCAAAAGAAATTAGTTTAAATAAAAATTACAATGAAAGGGGGAAAATAAAGCAAAACAGTAATTTGCGCTGTCCCCCCATTGCTGGCAAATTGCCATGACTGGAACTGGATCTAATTGGGTTTGTCCCCTCCACTATCTACTTAGTCCCCTCCCACTCCCGCCCCTCCCGATTCCTAACATCATAATGCCTGTTATTGAGCAGGTGTGCCAAAATATTTACTACTAATGTTGAACAAATGCATGACTTCATTCGATGTTACTGTTAAAGCCAGGCTGCTCCATAAAGAATTATTACTTTTCCCAAGAAATAACTGAGCTCCTAATTGAATGAACTTAGCAAGAGCCACATCTTCACGGGAGCTTGGCCTAGATTTAAATTCTTTAATTGCATTAGCTGATAATCTAATTTAATGAAATGAAAACAACTTCATTCACATTTGGCCTTCCCCGGCATCAACTATGTGAAGAGAGATGTCAAGAATTCCAAAGGCAAAACCAAAAGGCTCTTGGAAAAGCTCATTAAGCATCCAAATGTTTTTAATTCCTTGAATAACTGAGTGATAAGCCCTCCCTTGCCTCCAGGCTCCAGTTACAGCAGCATGCCTGTGGCCTGGGCAATACAGAAGGGGCACTTCCTCTTCGCCTCAGGCTGGGAAAGGTTCCTCTAAAATCCCACAGACCCGCTGGGTGGAGCAAACAGCTAACACTGCCGGTTGTGCCCAAAAGTTCAAGTCCACCTAGAGGCACCTCAGACGAGACCTGGCCATCCACATCTGAAAACTGAGTCCCAGAAAACCCTGGGAGCACAGCTCTACTGGGACATACGTGGGGTCAAGGGTAGGGGTTGGCTTGACCACAACTGGCTTTAGAACCCTCATCACTGCCCAGCTGTTACTTACTCACTGCCATCAAGTTGATTCCAACTCCTAACGACCTTACAGGGCAAGGCAGACCTGCCCCTGTGCGTTTCTGATACGGTAATGCTATATGGGAGTAGAAGGCCTCATCTTTCTCCCATGGAGCGGCTGGTGGTTTTGAACTGCTGGCCTTGTGGTTAGCAACCCAACACATAACCCACTGTGCCACAAGGGCTCCACTTTCCAGCTGTGTAGTGTCTATATAATTTATTGTCCAGACACTTTCTGTAAGATGGCTATTAACAGCTGCATGGGAGCAGTGGGCAGAAACCCGGACTGCCCTGATCAAACTGGATTGCACCATCGTCCTCATCAGAGGGTAAGTCGAGCAGAATCTGAGTTCTACCGACACCTGCCTCCATCAAGGCTGGCTCTGGGGGAAGGAAGTCCGTTTTCAGGCATAGACCTGCCTGGATTCACTCATCTGCTGTGAGGTCAGCAGGAGTCCTCAACCTTCAGCCAACCCTGCCAGGGACCTCAAGCTGGGCTACAGGATGAATTAAAATACTACCTCATTGGAAGTTAAGGCCAGTTTACTCTAGTTTTCCATGTTCCACCTGGGTCCTGGTAGGATACACGTCTTACCCTTCTGTGCCTCTGGTAAGAATGGTTTAACCTTTTTATATACACTTAACTGTGACTTACATAGGCTCTCTTTAAAAGTAGTATTGTGGTGCTGTGAAATTTCTTGATATGACTTCTTCTACTTAAGTCTGTAACACCACCAAATAATTGGGTGGGACTAGGTAAACAGAGCCTGCATAACACTAATAGGAGAGATGGGTCCGTTTTCGTTACCACCCGCTGCCTATAAGGATGAGCCATCCTGGAAATGGCAGCAAAGAGAAACCTTGCAGGACCATTTGGAAGAGCAGGTTCCAGATCTGTTTGAAGTGGCGGAGGCCTAGAGCAGAGGCACGAGAAACTGTGGCACGGAGACTCAGAGGGGCAGAGCTGAGACTACGGGGTGCCTTCTCCTCATCTGACCCGCGACTATGGAACGATGAGTCAGAGCGACAGATGGGCTGGCTTCCTGGCCCATGAAGGCAAAGGCCAAGGGACCACGTGGTCGAGAGACAAATGACTGGAGAGAGACTTGGCTGCTGGTTGAGGAGACCAATGACTGCATCCTTACTGTGTGCTGGGCCTGTTAACTTCCCTAAGAAGTCTCCCCCTAAATGTGAGCGTTGTCTGTGAGTTCTGTGGGGCCTTTGCAACGAATTACCAAAGCCAGCATATAAAAAGCGTCTTGGGAGCACGGTGATTGTCAGAATAGGTAAAGAAGAATGGAGTGTGGACGCTTGCCTGCCTCCTGCCTCGTGACAACAGGGAGGCCAGAAGCATGTCCACCTCCACTGCCATGCACTGTAAGCAGCCTGGTTGGAAAAGAAACCTCCTGGCAGCGCATGGAGGGCTGAGCTGGCAGAGATTTATGAGATCAGCTAGTGCCCAAGGCCACTCAGGTGTCCCTGGGTGGTGGAAACTGCTATCCAAACTAAAGGCTGGAGGTTCAAGCCCACCCAACAGTGCGGCATAAGAAAGGCCTGGCAGTCTGCTGGAACCCCAGGGTGGAAAAGCCTAGGGCACAGAGACCTGCCTGCTTAACGGGCACAGGGCTGGAGCAAGGGGTGTGAGCTGGCCAGGGACGCACAACCAAGGGTGAGGCCAGCACTGCCTTCCAAGTCCACTTCCCTCTTCCTCTCCCTGTTTCTCCTGGCCATGCCAGTCCTGAAGGCCCAGGTGCCAACTCCCCTACCCTGTGAAGGCTTCGCCACCACCCTCGTCCACAAGCACAGCCCTTCCCAGAGGCTCATGGCTCCCATCCTATTTCGTCCTGTACCGGAGCTCCCTCCTGTACCGGAGCTCCCTGGCTTCTCTTACTTCCCACTCCACAAACTCCATTCAGAAAGGGCTCTTTTCTGATTCATTCTGCTGTCTGTCCCAGGGCCTAGCGCCGTCTCTGTCCTAATATCTGCTCAGCCAGCAATCTGGAGCAATGGCTTCTGGGTTTTAATTTTCTCTCCTGTGCCCTGGTCAATCTTCTCGGCTAAAATGAACAACTCTTACCAGGAAGCCTCACTATGGAGGGTTGGGAAGAAAAGGCAGTGGTGGCAGAAAATGCTTTTATCAAATCCAATGCACGCTAGCACCGTGCTGCTGGGCTGAGATGTGACACCCCCCATAACCCCCAGTGATACCAGGCGACCGAGAGAACTGCCCTGTAGGGTTTTCTTAGAAGCAGACCCTCAGGTCTCTCGCTCACAGGGCAACTGGGTGGGCTAGAACCACCAACCTTTGATTAACAGCCAAGTGCTTAACTGCTTGTGTCACCAGGGATCCTGTAGCTGGGCTGCAAAGCACAAGTCAAGGAGTTTAAGTGCTGTGTGTGGAAAGTCTGTCCCTGGCTGGAGTTCCTACCGAGGGTCCCCTGGAATAGTTCCACAGGGTCTTCTCTGTACCGCCCACGTGGGCTTTCACGCCCACAGAACTGAAAATTGACCACGTCTTAACAGAAAGCCGAGGCAGAGGCTCGGGTGGGAGCTGAAGGCTGGCGTCTGCATCTGACGGCGCTGTTGGAAGACCAGTGGCCGTCAAGGAGACTCCAACCCACGGTGTTCTCCAGTGATCCAGTTTTCAAACGCTGATCTCTCTTGAAGATCGCCAGGCCTTTCTTCAAAGACACCTCTGGATGGAAAAGACTCTCCAGCGTGTGTGTTAACATCTCCGACACTGAGAGGCTCCCTGGTCTGGTTTAGAAGCCCCTCAAGGGCCGTCACAGAGAAGTCGCTTGGAAGCGCCAAGGACGATGGATGCCTGCACTAACGAACATGCACACTGTCTCTAAGCCCGCTGGAAACCAGAGAGGACTAAACAGAAGGCAGGAGAAGCAAGAGGACCCTCCCACCTCAGTGAGGCCCTCAAGCCCACAGGCCCCCAGGGGAGCCTCCACAATTAGCTGCCGGGAAATGCTGAAATTCTCAGCGCAACATCTGCTGGAGAAGAGATCGCCTGCGCCTCCCTCTGTGAAAGTGGTTTTAATTTTAGTGTTTTTCCTCCTTAGTAAACCCAGGGCAAGTGTCTCCTGATCTTGGGTTTACAGCCATTTGGGGGTGTGGTGCAGACAATGGGAGAGGGCAAGAGCACCCCCTAGGAGGGTCCTAAAGATGAAAGAAGAGGGTCTGGAGGGCCCTCCAGCTAGGGAGGTAGGGGTGGGGGTGTTGGTAAGTGACAGCCAGCTGGTCTCTGAGGGCAAGATCTTTCCTGCGCTCTGGTGCAATTAAACAGCATGAGACTGAACTTTCTAATGAAGCCCAGCCCCACGTGTGTTGCCTTGTGTGTGTTGCCACAAGGCAACAAGGACCCAGCTGGCTTGGAACCACCACCCCCACCCCAGGGAGGGGTTGGGGAGGGACCAGACACACTGGACTTGCTAGTTCTGTGATATTCGGTAGTCTCTCGGCCACCAATTTCCCTCATGGGAGAAAGATGGCCATGACACGGCAGACCCACGGAAGAGAAAGCCATGGGTGTTCCGTCTGTGGGAGTGGGGACCCCTGGAGTTGTGCAAAGGAAACTGTTACAACGTCTGCCTCAAAAGCATGCTGGGAAGCTTAACGGCAAAACATTAAGATCAGGGCTGGCTTTGCGTACGGTTTACAATGGGGAAAAAACAGTACCACAAGAGTCCCTTTCTCTTGTCTTTCTAGGGCTCTACAGTCTAAAGGTCTCATCGCAAAATGATCTCAAAACTGAACCCAGGGCCAACTTCAAGGAAGCTGGTGGTGAGAGCAATGATGGGCCCCACCACTCCTATCTCAACGTGTCCACCCAGGGAAGGCTGGATAAAGGGGCCAGGGATGGGACAGACGGGAACCTTCAGGCCCCTTTGGAAATGGGAGGGACAGCCTCTGTTGGGTTTAGGGCTGAAAGAATGTGAGAGAGAGAGAGAGTGTGTGTGTGTGTGTGTGTGTGCTCTCTCTTTCGCTCGCTCGCTCGTGCCGGGGCAGTATAAAGAGCAGGCTAAGGAGTGTCAATCTCACTGTGTGCCAAACATTACCAGGTAGTTTCTGCCCCTGTCCTTAGATTTGTTCTTTTCTAGCCAGAAGGCTCCCTCATCACGCTCACAGCTCGCAGCTCACAGCCCGTCAAGCTCTTTCGTGGGGGTCTCTGGAGCCCTGCCTGGAGCCCAATGGGAAGCACACTTCTGAAGAAGTATGGAAAGACCACAAAATCTAATTTAGACAAACAGACAGTGAGCGATGTCTGATGAGAACCCTGTGACCAGCCCCCTCCCTCTCTCTATTCCTCCAAAATCCCAGTGTGGATTCTTCCAAAGACCCCTCACTATTCACACTCCCTCCACAGGGAGGGAGACCTGTGCGAACGGACAATGGGAGAACACAATTCCCAGCTGGCATTCCACATAGGAGCACTTTTAGAGTCCAGTGGCTCTGGGTGCCTGGGAAGATTGAGATGGGGCCATGGTCAAGTGGCTGGCTGTTCACTGAAAGGCTGGCGGCTTGAACGTACCCGCCACTCCACGGGAGGAAAGTGAGCTGTCTGCCTCCAGAGCTTGCCGTTCTCAGCAACCCTGCAGAGCAGTTCTGCTCTATACCATAGCAGCGCTATGAGTTTGGACAGACTCAAGGGCAATGGGTTTGGTGTTTAAGATCTTGGAGGCTCCAGGCGTCAAACTACTAACCAAGATGGCAGGGTGCCAACACAAACCTATCTGTGTCTACCCCAAGAACAGGAGAATCAGAGCCACCAAGAGGAGTCTTTGGGTTTACCCTACCAGTTCTGTCTACCACTTCATTTCACATATGCCTGAGTGTCACCTGTGGAGTCTCAGAGGAAGCAAACCAGGATCCAGGGAGCCCCACTCCAGACTTGCCAAGGAACTCGGTGCTGGGCACCACCCACTAGATACCGAGTCACACATCCCGCCAACGATACTTACCTCCTCGGGTCGGCTCAGCACGTGTCCCTCGGGGCCTGTGATGCCCAGATCCAGGATCCTTTGCTGCTCCTGAAATGTTTAAGGAAAGCCAGGCTGTGAGAGCGCGCTGGACTTCAGACACTGCCAGTTATAGACGGGGATAAACAGGTATGCCAAAGGGGTCCTGCTGACTCCTGATTCTCCTCTACTATGACGAGGAGGTCATACTGAGAAGGCTCCACGACACTGGTCCCAGAACAGCCTGAGCTGGGACAGATGAGTTAGCCTCCCAACAGGCGTCCGGCAGTCCCCAGGGATGCAGAGTCGGCTCAGTCTCTGCAGCAGCCTGGAACACCTGTGCGTAACTCGAAAGCCACAGAGCAGCGTTGAGGGCAGTGGCTTCTCTCCACAAAGACACCCCCGTTCGCCATTCTTTGCACGCACACTGGCAGGTTCCCATTTCCAGACTTCACACTGCCAGCGAGACCAACCGTGTGCCCGAGGACTGCACCACCGGTCCACCCTGGCAGTCCCCACAGTGTTCAGCTGCACGAGTCACTGCCCGCGCTGAGCCTATCTCCTGCTCTGTAGGTGGTGAAGGAAGGGTCACGAGGGAAGCGCAATACCTCTGCAATGATGTCGCCGTTTTCTGCATGGACTTGGGCGATCGCCCCGATATCCCGGATCACGCTCAGTACTTCATATATCTGAGAGCAGAGAGTGGGAGTCAGAGGCAGGGATTACATGCAGCTTCCTGCTCACAAGAACCATCACCTCCATCCGCAACGTTTCTGGGATCAGAAACGATACAATACCTCCCAACTATGTCTATTAAGCCTAGCTGTTTGTATAAGCCTAGCTTATATCTTTTGATATAAGATTACGTGTTGATAAAAGGCTCTTTCTTATACATATATGCATGTCACTAGATTTGTCTCTCTACACAGCCCAGCCTAACACAACGCATGTATGTTAGAAAAGAGTGGTTGAGAATGATAAAGCAAACAAGGTAACATGTGAACAACAGGTGAATCAACCTGAGAGCGACGCTGGGCCTCATCTGGGCGAGTCGCAGGACTCTCGGTAATTATCTAAGAGATGTGGTTGCGGAGAGAAAAACCGGTTGAGGACAGCCCTAGCTGTGCACCAGGTCTGCTGAGGACGGACTGCATGAACTTCTTGGCCACAATGTCCTATTCTGAAGCCTCTACGAGCCTTAGATCCCAGAGCCTGGTAGAGCATGCACTGAGAGCTCCGACACTACATTCAAACCCTCCACAAAGACAACGCACGTCGGTGTCTTAATCTAACAGCCAAGTCCCTGGAAGCTAACGGGGGCGGGGGGGGGGGACAGGCACTGGCGACCACTTTCCCAGGACACCAGCAGTGGGCTGAATGGGTGCCTAATCAGAAAGGCTGGCTTTCCTTACCTGGGAATCTGTTAGCTGGAAGCGGTCCTTGAAAGCCATGTACACGAGGAAGGAGTTTACCCCTAGTGGACACACAAAATAAGCAGGCTGAGAGGACTTTCAGTAGACACACCCCAATCAAGTCCTACAGGAGGAGTTAGGAATGTTCTAAGAATTTACATGTGCGCGCGCATGCTGAAACTATAAATAGCTGCATGTATATGGTAGTTAGATGGCTTTATGTCAACTTGAATTTGTATGAAAGTACAGAGGTGGGGGGGATAAAAAAATAAGAAGTGCATGGTGGAATCCAACCTGTCAATCAGGTCACAGCCTGATGATGCCTCCTTGGGGTGTGTGGCCTTCTTATAAGACAAACCTGGGGATCTCTCTCCCTCCCTCCCTCCCCCTTCACCTCCCTCCTTGCTGAGACTCTGCCTCCAAGGGTGACCTCACGTGGGCCACCTGATGTCGAGAGCTGTGAGCGCCCAGCCATGACTACCTTGGATCAACACAACTCTGCACCCACTGGCCTGTGATCTTCCTGTGTTCCATGTCACCACTCGAGTCTGAAGAGGCCCTGGTTTGCATCGGACTTGTGGGCTTGAATTGAACTGGGCTGGGATGCCTTCTTTTGCTATCAGATTGCTTGTTGATATAAAGCTCTTTCGTATACATATATGCCCGTCACTGGATTTGTTTCTCTAGACAACTCAGCCTAACACAACGCGTGTATGTTAGAAAGAGTGGTTGACAACGAGAAGGCAGCAAGATAACATGTGAAAGACGGATGAATCTGGGACTAGGGTTCATGGGAGGTCTTTGTATCACTCCAGTGATTTTTTTTTTAAATCATTTTATTGGGGGCTTGTACAACTCTTATCACAATCCACACATACATCCATTGTGTTAAGCACATTTGTACATTTGTTGCCATCATCTTTCTCAAAACCTTTGCTTTGTACTTGAGCCCTTGATTTTTCTTTAAATTTAAAATCGTATCAAAATTAAAAGTTGTTGCGCCTAAAACGAACTCTTGTGACATCACAACACAAGTCAGACGTCTCTTTGGAGGAAGGTCTGCAATGAAATCTTCATTTGGACAAACAGACTCCCCTCTGTACTGATCGTTTTGAGAACGCTTCCTTATCCAAGGGACAGCCCATTAAGGCAATAGGCATATGTGGCAATGATCATCTTAGCAATTTAGAGCTCTCGAAGTCTAACACACAAGGCCAAACAGCCCTGCCCAACATCCATCACTAGTTTAAACTATCGCACTGACAGTCTCCTAGCCCCGGAGCTTAATTCAAGCCACCTGGGGAGTGCTGGAAGCCGGCTGAGTTAAATGCCTCCTGACATCCGGGCCCTTCTCTCCTCACCAGGCAACAGTTACTATGGTAACCGTCCTGGCTGGCTTTGGAGCTGATTACACATGGAAAGTCAAATCCATTTGCTGTCTGGGTAGTCTCAAAAGTGAGAAAGGTCAGAGGTGGCCCGTTTCCTTTTAGGTGGATCATCCATCCTGGAAAGAATCTTAGATGACATCTAGTCTAATACCCTCATGTTGGAGATCTTAAAAGCGGGAGAGAGCTGTAAAATGGAAGTGACTTGCCCTAGGGCACAGAGTCACTCTTGGAAGAGCACTGATTTAAACCCAAGGCGGCAGCTGCTCACTCTGGGGACTTCCCACCAGATGACCCTATGGAGATGCCCAGGGAGTGCCCTTCAAGTCTTCTTCAACGAAGCCTTCGATCCAGGAAGCCAGTACATGACCCAACTTGAATCTGTGGTCCAGCTCAGGGAGGCTCGGGAAAGCCGTGGTTTGGCTTCACCACCTAAGCCCCCTTAGGTTCCCCCAGACAAAGGGATCTTTAAACCCTAAGTCAAAACTCACCCCTGAGGTCTTAAAACCAAACAATAAGTTAGCTTAACTAAAGTGAGCATTGTGCTCTTTTGAGGACCACCTAAAAGGGAGGGTTATTGTGTGTGTAAGGGGGGGAGGGGAGAGTGAGTTCATGTTCATGTGGGAGGAACCACTCAGAAAAATGGGCGAGAATGTCCAACAGGCTTAAAGACAGTAGGTACTCTGCCACCGAACTGCACGTGCCGAAACTGCTGAGCTGGTGGGTGCTTGACTGTGTATCAACTCAACCACAACAATTAGAATAGGGCGGTGGGGGGCGATTCCTCTGGCCTCTCCTCTCTGCCAATCTTTCCAGTATTCTCTGGAATCCTGATTCCCCAAAAGTTCTATGGAACTGAAAGGAGACCGCACAATATCTCAGGTTTGAAGGGTCTCATCACCTGCAAGTCTCCCCCAGAGTCGGCGGTCTCCCGGGTCTGCAGGAAGAGGCAGTCCATGCCATGCTCCTGTCCTCTCCCAACAGTGCCTAGAAATCTCACGGGGATAAGCATTTGTAGCTCCTCTGGGCAAGTCACTACTACAGCCTTGACTCCCCAACCTGACTAAACATAATTACCTCAAGACAATCAACTGCAGGTCACTGTCCGATAAGAACAGATGCAGGTGGTACGGCTCATGTGCTCCGGTGAAAGCTTCCTCGCCTTCACTGGGTGCGCCACCTCCCATCGGCATCAGCTGTCACCCTGACCCCTCTCTGCACGCTAGCAGGCAGGCATAGGGGTGAGGCACCGACGGTACCTACAACCACTCTGTACGTGATCTTCACAAGGGGGGGCCAGGTTAGGGACTGAAATGGAAACATCAGCAGGGGAGTGTGTCGGGCAGCACCACCTACCATGGTCCTTCACCAGGGTCTCCATCTCCTCTTGGACACCCTTATGCCACTCGGTGATGTCCACGTGCAGAGAGTAGTCACAGCAAGACTTGCTGTCGGCCCATTCCCTCCACTGGTCAAAGGCGGCCAGGAGACTCGTCCCAGGCTCAGGAACCACATGGTCAACTAGAAAGGAGCAGACACTTGCCATCAACAAAAGGCTCAGGGCCGAGGGCCAGCTGCTGTTTTCCCATTCCAACCCTGAATGCGGCTTCTTGGGTTCAACATGGAGATGGTGACCTCCTCGGCCAGTCTCTTCAGAACCGGCTTAACCCACCGGACTGCCCAAGAGGGCGAAAACAGAGAGAAGGACCTTGGCACTGGAGGATGGCGTCGGCGAAACCACACAGAATAGCCCCGATCTGATTTCAAGGTTCAGAATCCCTGAAAGCACAAACCTTAGGAGCGTTCCTCGGACAACGAGTCCTTATGGACAATGACCGTGTCGAATGGCTGGCCAAGGCCGATCAAACCCCTGGGTGTTGATAGCTATGGGTGGAACGCCCCCCGCCAGACGCAAAGGAACGCTATGATGCTGGACCAGAGCCATGAGCCCAGGGCCTTTTAAAATTCCCCGGCGTATCCACTCTCTCATCACCACTCAAATTTCAGCAGCATAATACCACTTGGTAATTTAAGGGCGATCTTTCATCTTAAAAGTTCAAAGCATTTAAAGCTGTGGTTATTGTTAGCTTGTTATGGAAGCAGGCTGATAGGGAGGGCACAATAAAACCTTTGCCCTCATGCAGACCTGAGTCTGTTTTCTGGCCCCACCACTACCCGCCAGGTACCCTTGAGTACGACACTTAATCTCTACCAGCCTAAATTTTTGTGCAGGCTTAACATGGGGATAATATTACCTGCCACATCCATCTGAGGACGAAATGAGACAGCATATCCATCAGCCTTGCCTCAATCCTCCTATGGCTTTTCATTACTCTTTGGTTGGCGACTAAGACCCCCAACAAGGTCTACAAACCCTGCCTCACTTGGCCCCAGCCTACACTTATAATGTCACTCAGCACCATATCTACTTTGCACACTGATCACATAAGCTGCCGTTGGTTTTTACAATATCAGACTGTGCTGTCCTACCACAGGACCTTGGCACATGCTATCACCACGGCTGGTCTTAGAAAGCACTAATCCAGTTACCTTGATGGTAAGTAGTTACTCAGAATAACTGCCTATCTTCTGGACAGAGATACTCAAATACAAACTGAGATGGCTTGTCCAAGGTCAAATCTAACACAATAAAGAGGCTAAAACCCAGAACGCTTGACGCCTAAAGAGCACTGAATCGCTCTTCCTAAATGAAGTGTTAGATTTTCTACATCCAGTAAGCAGTTCTGAGCTAAGAAAAGGCCAGGCCGGGCAATGAGGGTGAGCTCAGATTTCTGAGATGGATCAAAACTTGCTGATGCAGCTACGTTGCATTAACTAAGCTGGGTTTTGTATACCTTCAAAAATATGGATGTCACAGCTGAGTTTTCTTTCAACAGAATCTCCTTTTTAATAAATATGAATAGGTGTAATTAAATGGGTCATACATATCTGGTACAGTGTGTGTATGTGGATATATAGATGGATTTAGGTATGTAGATATATATTATTGAGCAAAAGCAAAGAGGACATACATATGTCTAACACAAGCCTATTCTAGTATGCTGATGAGAAAACCACTCCATTTTTCCCCCTTAAATTGAGTCCCCAATCATGAAAAAAAGAATGTATCACTTTGGAACCACTTCCAACAAATTAGCCAGGGAAACCCACATGGATCACAACAGTCTGATCCACAACTGTTTGTAGGACAGGGCAGTGTTTTGTCCCATTACATGGGGGGGGGGGGTTTTGTGTGTGTGTGTGTGTGTGGTGCATCATGTGACAAGGACCAATGCAAACCCCGCTAACAACACATTTGGAGTTACGCTCTCTAGCCAATATGAAGAAGGAAACGGGGTAGTCCACACGTCTACCTCCTTTGATAGGAAAGCAAATCACTTTCCAGAAGAAAGTCAGGTAATGGTGCTAAGGTTTACCATGCTCACCGGAACCCCAGCAATGAGCTTCACGGCCGATTTTTCCTCCGGCTTCTGGTTATAGACAACAGGGGCCACCAAGGCAGGCCGGGCTGGTAAAGGCAGTGCCATCAGGGTCCATGTGATACCCACCAGGCAGAAATCCCTCTGATGCCCCAGCTTGGCCAGGCAGGTGCCGAGATGTCTGAGGAGCGGACAGATTTCCCACTGAGGGCATGCAGGTATGGAGAGGGGCGTTTGAGTCAGAAGCTATTTAAGAAGCGACAGGCACCTCGCCCTCACTTAAAGTTCGAAGAGAACTGCCTGAAACAAGTTTGGATTTGACCTCACTAAGGATGATTGCACCAATTAGTCTGCAGTTAAATGTCGCATTTTGCTTTTTCACTTAATAATCTACTATGGGCTCTGGACTATTTATGAAGCATTATTTTAATGACTACAGAATATTATAGCCCATGAGTAAATCCTAACTTTTAGCCATTCCTCAAATGTGAGTCATCAAAACTATTACAGTGGTTCTGCCGCCATAAATCAAAGAGGTATGAATGTTTCTCTAGAGATTTGTGTTCCTTAGGCCCCAACCCCACCCCCTAAACAACACTGACTGAGTCAAAGGGCAATACATTTTTTTTTTTAAGGCTTGTGATATGTTATGCTAAATTACCTCCTGGAAAGTTCCCATCCATTTGTATCCTACAGGGCAATGCCTCTTTCATCAGTCTCTTACCAAGAGGGACGATCTTCAATTCTTAACCTCTTCAAATTTCATTGGCCAAAGTGACACCCAATCGTTATGTGAATTTACATTTATTGGCAAGAGGTTGGGTTCTTTAAGGTTTGTGGGGTGCTTGTTCCTTTGTGCGCTGTCTGCTTGCATTCCGTGCAGTCTTCACTGGGATGGCTGCCCTCTGGTCTCCGTGAGCAGTAGATCTTCACCTGGGTACTGCAGCATCCCTTGACGTACACACAACACGGCCAATTCTGTGGGAGACGTTCCACAGGCTGGCCTTACCTCTAATTCTACTGGCAATGCTTCTTCTGTCAGACATAAATTAAATTTCATGTTGTTTTCTCAGGTTATTTTTCGTATCCTCTGGGATTTAGTCTGTGTTTCTATGACTCAAAAGCCCCTCTCCCTTTCAAAAGCCCCTCTATACGTTCATATATATATATATATATATATTTTATATATATTTTTAAACACATCAGGTATTCCTAAAGGTGAAAAGAATAAGCTGGGAATCTAATTTCGCTTCCCCAGTGAGCTGTCATTATGCCAGCCCGTTTACTGAACGGTCCTTCTCTTCCCCGCCTGTTTGATGGTAACGTTAAAATATATTACTATCATTATGACATAAGACCTTCACTATTCAAGGTTATTAATAATAAAATGTCTGATACTTTGAGCACACACTCACATGTTCACGTGTGTGAGATACACACAAAACGAGAGTCAAGGTCAACATCAGATTCCACCCCCAGCTATGTTGCGTTACCCCTCTGTTGGTGTGAAATAAAAAACAAAAGCCAAACTCGCTGCCGCACAGCAACCCCAGACAATGCGGAAGAACTGCCCCGTGGGCTCCCGAGACTGTACGTCTTCATGGGGAGTCGGAACCGGCTGGGGCTTCAAACTGCTCACCCTGTGGTTAGCAGCACAAGCACAACCCAGCATGCCATGGGGCTCTTGAAAAATCACGTTTCATGAATTGTTGATGCTGTGGGGCTGGCTCATACTGCATAAAGTGAGAAACTAATTGGTGGATGAGGTTTGTATGTAAAGCCTTCATATTTTGCTCCTAATAATATTAAATATTTTAGTTAACAATAAGCGTAATGTTGACATTTATAAAACCTCACCCCCAGTTTGTGATTCTGTGGGTTCAGGCTAGGGCCTGACCAGCTGCATTTCCAACATGCTCCTGAGAGGCACTGTAAGTGAGAATCACTGCGCTGTTTGGCCACCCACTTGATTCAGGGCAACAGCCACCCGGTTTAGACAGAGGGGAAATGCCCCAGGGGGCTCCTCAGGCTGTGCTCTGAACGGGAGATCTCCTGGCCATCCTCCCAGTAGCCCTTGGGTGTTCGAACCATCAACCTTTCATTAGCCGCTAACACTCCACCACTAGCCCGAGTGTAAATCTTTTCCCACTGATTTCTCCTTCCACCTCCACTCAGTCCCAGCCATGGCCCCATGAGTAAGCCATTTCCTGGTCAACAGCATGGCCCTCTTCAAAGAGATCAGGATTCCTGGCAGTTACAACCCTTGAAAACTCGGGCTGAAAGCCTCGGGGGAAATAGACATGTTTCCTCCAAGAACTAATGACATTCAGGAACGTGTCCCCGAGAAGCTTCCACATGTTTTCCCACAGTTCTCCTTCCACAGAAGCTCTCCTGGGAAGCGCTGGTCCAGGGAACAGGGCAAGAGGTCACGTTCACTTCCGGAGGGAGCACAGGCGTCCCCACTAGGGGCACATGCCTGAGAGTGACTTTCTGGAACATGCAGGCCTCCCCCTTGGGTGATCTTCCTAAGCGGTCTGCCTCTGCAGCAGCCTGTCGTCTGCCCTGCAGCTGGCTCCTCTCCCTTTGGGTAAGGCAAGAGAAGACGGTCAATAACCAAGAAAGCGCTCCTTGGCACAGAGCGGAGAGGAGGGGAGGGGCTTCTGGGGACGAGGAGATCCAAGCGCCCGTTCTTGCTGCGGCTCTTCTCCCCAGTATGCATGCTGGGGGACCTCCTAGGCACATATATAAAACACGAAACAACCTACCTCGCAAAGCCGCCAAAACATTCACCTAAGAGAGTGTCTGGTACAACCTCTGGCACCCCGAGTTCTCATTCCTCAGGCAAACCATGCTGGGGTGAGCAGAGTAAACACCACCCAAGAACCTGGCTTCCGCGAAGCAGTCAAGCGCATGCTTCGGCCGTGGTCTGCAGCTAGAAGGCACAGGCCGTGCCAGAGCGTGTTTAACCTAGAAGACATCGGCCATCTCCAGAGGGCTAGTCCGGCTTCTGCTGCCATCGTCAGAGGACCCCGATTTAGGGCTGTTTTTCTTTTGAGTTAATTGTCCATTCGCAGAAAGCTG